GGGGCACACCTAAAGTCTAAGAGGTCTACACTGAGGACTAGGTAGATGGATTCTCACCTAAGGTGTGTGCTCCTAAAACTCTAGGAAACCTACTCTTTAACTTATGTTTAAGGTGATTTAAGGTTTTCTATATCTTCCAATTAATTAAATCATCAATCCCATCCTTATGACTTAACCATTTAAAAATAAATTAAAAAAAAAGAAGAAGGATAAGACAAGTCCCACTTCCAAAACTAGTAAAGTCAAGGGGGAAAGCGTTTAAATATCAATCAATTGAAACCCAAAACAGTGAGCAAAAAGGGGTCCGTAAAATCAATTATAAACCGTATGTAAATCAGCACTTAAAGGCTACATAAATCTCGCCAAAATAGTGTGTAGATCGCCTCAAAATTAGCCCATAAAAATGCCTCAAAACATTGTGTAAGCCTCTCTAAATCAGCAAGCAAAAGTACCCCTAAACAGTGTCGAAATTGTTCCAAAATGATGCCCAAATTATTTCCAAATTAGCATATAAATCCTAAGCATGAAAAGATACATTTCACATTAAGAAATAGAAGTATCTCTTATGTAGAATTAAATATCAGAGTTGTGTGATTATAAAACTTAGGTTCCATATATGCAGAGGATATAAGCATTGTATAGTATGCATGTAAAAATTGAAGCCAATGTAATAGATATGCAAGCACATAGCAATTGAGCGGCATGTATGTAATTCTTCTTATCCATTTTAAGGTTCGCTATTGTGATGGTGCGTCTTTCCTTGGCGAAGGCTATGACAGGGTTAGTATTAGTTTTTTTTATGTTTTATTCTTCCTTTGTCCATACTTCCGCAATGGTAAAAAAAATTTCAATCGTCACCGGTCGTTTAATCATGCTTAGTTGTTTATCACATTATGCATTACTCTCAACTTATTATACAATTCAACTCACTATCATTCAACTTTCAAATAATCACAATACTTTACACTAGAATATAGGACAGATTAAAATTAATTGTTGTGAGACAGTGCTATAAAATAATGCAGATTAAATAGCTTTGAAATAATTCCTGAAGTGCAGATGAAAGAACACAGCATACTAATGTAAAGTAAAAAAAAAATGTTAAGAAAGATTTACTAGCATGCCACTCAATTCCTATGCATTCTATCAGTTAAAAAAAACAAAGAAGCCCATCACCTTGTGTTTGCAGAAGAGCAAAAAATGGAAGAATGTGGTGTAGAATTAGTGCAATGCCACGAACTGTTCTCTTCTGCTTTAGCTGTTGCGCTTAAAAGGACGTGCGTGACTGGAGAATGCTCGTCTCCTCCTTCCGTATTCGAGAGGAAGAAGGGGGAGTTCGGCTCGGTGAGGGTGTTAGGCGCGAGGGTTGTGTCATATAAAATAAAGTGTTGCACTATGACAACCACCTCTTGAAGGGAGAGTGAGAGAGGGTAATACAGAAAGAGAGAGAGAAGAGAGAGATAAAGAAAAAAGTAAGATACATAATAAGAGAAAATGAGGAGAGAGAGAGACTGTGTGCAAGTGAGTGAGAGAGAGAAAGGGAGAGAGAAGGAGACTAAGTGAGAGTGGGAAAAAGGTAGAGAGAGAAAGAGCATAGAGAGGGAGAAAGGTTGAGTGATAGTGATGACCAGAGAGAGAGATAGAGAGATAGAGAGAAAGAGAGATTGCTCTCTTTATCTCTTAAGTCTTCTTTTTATCATTCTCAATCTCACTTTTTATCTCACACTCCTTTTTCATGATCTCTCTATCTCTTCTCAATCTCTTGGATATGCATGAGGCCTCGCCAAAAATCCTTCCTGCGCGTCTCCTCAGTCAAAATCAAATCACGAATATCTCCATATTTCAGCTTAGATTTGCCTACAGAACTGTTAATTGTAATCATCATGGCCTCCCAGCTATTAAGCAATGATGTCAACAAAATCAGCGCACGTATCTCATCATCAAAATCAATTTTAACATACGACAATTGATTTGTGATAGTATTGAAATTATTCAAATGTTGAGCAATAAAAAAAGCAACAGACACACCTTCTGTCATCTTTAAGTTAAATAATTTTTTTCATCAAGTACACATTGTTATTCATCGATGGCTTTTCATACATACCTGATAAAGTCGTCATGAGATTTGTAATAGTCCTCTCCTTGATGATGTTGTGGGCAACCGATCTCGACAGGGTTAATCGAATAACCCCCAGAACCTGTCAATCCAACAAATTTCGTTCCGCCTCGTCCATCATTTCTGATTGTTTTCCCAATAACGGAAGATGAAGTTTCTTCTCATAGAGGTAGTCATTTATCTGCATCCTCCAATAACCAAAATCTGTGTCATTGAACTTCTCGATCCCCGATGTCATTACTCCGTCTCCGCCCATCGTTCTTCCTTAGATTCGAACCCACCAGTTGTTGTGAAAAACAATGACAATAAAGTGAAAAATGTAACGAGTAAAATTGCAAGCAGAAAAACACCAGAGCGACACAGATTTACGTGATTCGGCAAATTTGTCTACGTCCACGGAGCTACAGAGAATTTTATTTCTTCAAATTACACCATCGAGCGCACCATCGAGCGCCTCGACGTTTACAAGAAAATCTCTATTTTCTTCTTTGTTTTCCTCTCTTTCTCTTAGCTCTCAAGAGGCGAGAAAAACTCATACTATTTTTATTACAACGGTTCTTAAACTGTTGTAATTGACAAACCATAAGAGACTATTTATAGAAACTAGGAGAGCAGTAGGTGGGTGTGGTAGGTGAGCGGTGGGTGGGATTCTTAATTAGAAAGCTAATTAACAACAGTTAATTAAATTGCGGTGGACCGAGTCACTACATTACCCAACATAATAATGGAAGCAAATCATAGGAGATACTCTCTACATTACCCAACATAATAATGGAAGAAAATCATGGGAGATACGATTGCCAGTCACCTGATTTGGGGTTTAGCAAAGAACTTAATTTCTTCCTAACCATTCAACTTCTCGACTCTAAATCGTGAAACCACCATTGAAAACCAGTATAGATTTGGAGACACCTAGATCCTCCTCTCCATATCGGAACTCCAAATGGAAGTTTCACAGCACTAGAATCGCATAACTATGGAACCCTGCATTTACGTATTCCAGCAGAAAAACGCATCTTTTCATCACATGCAAGCACTATGGGCATATAGCGATAACATATTGTGTTTGTAAATGATTACATGAAACAATATAAGGGTGTTTGGAGAAAGATTTAAAAAACAAAAAAAAAAACTTAATAAATTATGTAATGATTGATTTGTTCGCGAAATTTAGGATGCAAAGAGTATCACAACATATAATTATCTTGATAATAGCAATCTCAAATTAGAAAAACCAGAGCCAATAGCGAGTCCAAGTGTTATAGCAGGAAAAGTTCAAGGGACTAAAGAAATGTGGACTTTTAGATCTTTTTTTATAGGGTCGTTTTTTATGGTTGGCCAAGGTGCAGAAAATACACTATGGCTCGCATACTTATTTTTGAAGGAAGAACTACATATTGATGGTTCCAATGATATTTTTCGTATCAAAAAATAGCACAAATGAGGCAAGAAGAGTGAAAAAGAGAAAAAAAGTAAAATTATTACCTGAGAAAGGCCAACAATGTTAAAACCTCCACTCAGTTCCTTCATTTCCTTCACCTGATTAATAAATTAGATTGTGGCGGAGTTCAGCAAAACTCCAACAACGCTTGCCCAAAAATAGTGTTATTACCTTTTCACAAACAATATCTGTCTGTAAACATGAAAAGCAATAGTATCAGGACTCTTCAAAAATATAATTTTTCAAAAACAAGATTAGAATAGCATCATAAGGTGAAGCAACCTGTTTTTGAAGGGGCATAACCCATGAGTCCACTGAACCCTTTCCAATTTCCCTAAAAGAAAACAAAACAGTTCACAACAATAAGGGGGTTGAAATCACAAGCAACAAACAGGAAATTATAAATACTAGGGAATTGAAATGACCATCTATTGAAAACTAAGCATAATGCATATTATAAAACAACTCCCCTTCAAAAACTAAGTCAATTTATGTCAGTCACGATAAAGCTATCAAAAGCACACTGACACCGTTCTAAGGCTCCTAAACAGTGTGATATCGCACCAAAGGTGTCGGAGATGTTGTAGGGGGAATACCGTGAGTTGGGTGATGGGTAGAAGTTAATAATTGACAAGAACGGTGGTGGGACAGCAAACACACAGGGAAACAGAAGCAGTTCCCTACAGCTGGACTGCAGACTGGAGGTGTTCGGTGACTGCCGTTGCTGGAAACAACAGTCGCAAGTCAACTCAGCGAAGTCCGGGCAGCTGGAAAGCGAACCATATTGTGAATTTCTGCTGGAAACAGCAGCAAGAGGTTTGTTTGAAAACGGTTCGGCGGAAAACAGCAAGCAAATGGTGTGTCGGGGAGGTAAGGACATCGAAGGGGATCCACCGCCAGTTTCTAGGTAAGTTATGGGCGCACCACTTGCAAGAGAAAGAAGTTACAGCACTCCAGAGAGCAAAACTTAGAGAATAAACTTCTCAAATTATGAAATCAGAACACTAAAACTCAAAAACACTAATACATAATATATAGAAGTCCCTTGAAAACAAATACCTAATCTAATTAGAAACAAGGGAAATAGGTGAGAGCAAAAAAGGGAGGAAGCAATGGAAGGAACTCGGAGAAAATAAAGAAAGAAAGGAAAAAAGGAATAAATTTAATCCTCGGTTCGGTTGAGTCCCACTAGCGCCTCTCTCATAGCCTGTAGAAAGGCGGCACGAGGAATGATGGTTCCCACCTCTATCTAAGAGCTCATCACTATTGATTCATTTAATGGTAGAAGCACAATAAATTTCATGTCCTTGTTAAAAGTGTATGAATTTTGTAGTCATCGTGAAATGTGCCACTGTCATACTGCCACGATCGCCCCAATAGAATATGATATGCATTCATAGGCACGAAATCACACCCAACCTGATCCTATAGCTTGTCTCCAGTTGAGAATTCCACCAAACATCTCTTGTCGACACAAATCTCATTTCCATTGTTCAACAAAGTCAGGGCATACGATTGGGAACACTTCTGTGTAACGAGGCTCAATTTATCTACCACCTATGTAGAAATCATATTTTTACAACTGTCTCCATTTATAATGAGGTTGCACACCTTTCCATTACAGTGCAACGGGTACGGATGATGTTATGCCTGAGCCACTGTTGATCCCTCTTAGACTCGGTCTAGGGAACTCATTGAACCACAAGCATCTCACCATCACCATCACCATCGTCCAAGGGTAGCTGGCACTCTTCTCCATTCTCCTCCTCTAGGCCTTCACTCTCTTCCTCCTCCACTGCGCCTTGTTCGGTAAAAGAAATCACCCTTCTGTTGGAAAACTTGGATGTAATGTGTCTGTATTCATGACATTTGAAATGCTTATGGGATGAGAATGCTTTAGGGGTATTGGTCCGATCAACCCTCTTTCCTGTTGGCTTCTCTTCTCGAGGGATAGGTGAAGGTGTTCTAGTCGACATGATCTTGCTAACTGATCTGATTCAATGGTCGACTCTTGTTTGAAGGGTGGTAAGGACCTGATGTTACGGTGTCGTTTCTTCACCTTCAAGGCCAATATTTGGACATCTTGTTCCAATAGGGCTGCAACTAAACCATATTGTCAATAGGCGGTCTCAATCCTCCCAGATATTTAGCTACAATGTTCTCCTTGGGCTCCCCTAGTTCACACTTCAGCATGAGTTGTTTGAACTCCGGAGTGTATTCTTCTACTGAAAGATCTTTTTGTTGTAAGTGTGAAGCCTCAAGAACACATCAAGCAAGTAATTTGTCAGCAGATACTTGCGCTACATCTCCCTTTTAATATTGGACCAGGTAGTAATTTTATTTTTTCTCTCATGAAGGCCTAGTCGTTTCTAGTATTCCCACCACAGCAACGCACTCTTCTTCAGTTTGATGACGACCACTTTTACACTTTTTTCAGGTGCGACGTCCTTCTATTCAAAGACTTGTTCCATTGTCTAGAGCCATTCAATAAACTCGTCTAAGTTCATGCAGCTGTCAAAATCTGGTAGGGCCACCTTGACTCCAAAATCACCTTCTCTCTTCCTACACTCAATGCAGAAACGACGCGACATCTGTTCTTTGTCGCTTGAAACGTCTTTGTGAAAAGGATTTTTGTCATTTCTTTCGCCTGGGTGGTCACCATTATTGTTGTGAGTGACTTCATCACGTTGTCTTCTTTCAAAATTAATGAACCTCTACCGTAATTGAATGATTTCCCTCTGCATGAATTCTATGGTAATTTCCTGAGTACAATGTTAGGAATTCTTTCTTGGTGGCATGGTGTCTTGTTCTTCAAACAGAACTTTCGGCCAGCTTTGATATCAAATGACACCGTTCTTGGCCTCCTAGACAGTGTGATAACGCACGAAAGGTGTTGGAGTAGTTGTAGGGTGAATACCGCGAGTTGGGTGATGAGTGGCGGTCGATAATTGACACGATCTATGGCGAGACAGCGAACCCACGGGGATATGGAAGCAGTTCCCTGTGGCTGGACTGCAGATTGGTGGTGTTTGGCGTCTGCTCTTGCTGGAACAATGGTCGAAAGTTGACCCAGCAAAGTCCGAATGGCTGGAGAGTGAACCAGGGTGATGACGTTGTGAATTTATTCTGGTAACAGCAGCAGGAGATTTGTTTGAAGGCAGTCAAACGGAAAACAGTGAGCAAAAGGCGCCTCAGGGAGGCAAGGACGTCAAGGGTAATCCAGCACCAGTTTTTGGGCAAGCTACTGGCTCGCCACTTGCCAGAGAAAGAGATTACAACACTCCGGAGAGCAAAACTAACATAATACACTTCTCAAATTATGAAATCAGAAAACTAAAAGTCCAAAATCCTAATACATAACATAGAAGTCCCCCTCAAAGCAAATGCCTAACTAGAAACAATAAAAATAGGTAAGAATCAAAAAACAAGGAAGCGAAGGAAGGAAAGTTGCAGGAAATAAAGAAACATAACAAAAAAAAGAAAAAAAATTAATTCTCGGTTCGGTCCAGACTCCCGTAGTCGCGGGGGCCAGATGCCGCGGATTGCGGCATCGCTGGAAATACCCGCGTCCCGCGTCACACACTCTACCGAAAAAATCCCCAAAGCAATCACCATCCAGCCTTCATAATGGAACCTTACCAGTAAACAAACTCAAAAAGGGGACGCATGAAGTAACTGAAAACGCAACTGCTTCCTCCGAGCAACTCCAATAATTGAAACAAAATTGTAAATAAAAAACAGGCGACAAAAGAAATAAATAAATAAACTTTGAAAAAGGAATTCCCCAGCTATCAGCGAAAACCAGGTTAGGCAGTCCATTTACTAAGAAGGCGCAATTAAACCTAAACATCACCATCTCGCCTTCCCTCCATTAACGAAACGACGGACCAAACCATAATAAACGTAACACCATCGCCATAAACAAATCGATCTTCGCAATACAATCCAAAGAAAATCATAAGAATTCGGACAGAGTTACCCACAAACAGTATCCCTGAGAATTAGACCACTCGCTCAGTAACTCGGTGAAGTGCTTCATCCCCCGATTACCGCACGCGTCTCCAATTCCTGAACAAAGTGAACGACAGCATTGATAAACAAAAACCTGAAATCTCCACCTGCCACAAACCCCCATCAACGAAAATGGAGCAATACAAGGAGGCATACACGAGTATACGAACCATGTATGACGATAAACGGCAGGGATAATGAGCTCGGAAGAGAAGAGCAGAAGATCGCAAGTGCTACGAGGAACTTGGGCAGCAAAGTACCCATTTCCATGCCTCTTCGACCGATCTCCGGCGTAGAAATCTTCAACAGAGATCGGCAGTTGGGGAATCGGAAGCAAGGGGCGGAATTCTCGATATTCCGGCTTATATAATGATTAGTTTTTAGAGAAGGCACGCCTAATTGCGTCACCGTTTGATCTCCGGCGATCAGGGAGAACACGCACCATGAAAATGCTGAAAATAATTATAAGGGCATTTACACACAAAACACCCAATACAATTGTAATTAAGTAAACTTCAATTTTTTTTTTATATTTATGCCATCCAATTCTTTTATATAATTCTTTAAAAATAGAATTGATATTTTAATAAATAATTAAAATGGCAGATATATACAAATTAAAGTTTAGACGATAAATATGAACCTACAGTCTGTGTATAGTGTAAAATCACAATCACATTTTTCGAATAAGCGATCGAAACGTGTTTTTCAAACGGTACGGTGGCATCTTGAAAATATTGTCGCACTTATAAGCTGCCACAAACGGGCCCTTAGTGGTGTGTGTGTAAATTTTTCATAATTATATATGTCGTAATATCTGAGTTTTTTAATTTATTTTAAAATTAGTGACTATAAAAAATATCAATATATTCCTTGAAATTTATGGATAACCAACTAAATGTAATACACATAATAAAAAAAAGTATAGTTGTATCATTGACATCAAAAATGTCAAACCCAAGCATCAATTGTTAATATTTTTTGTTTCAACCATGTAATTAAGTTTATATTTTATGTATCAAAATTAGTGATTCTTAGTATACTTGAAGAAAAAAAAAATTCAATTTCATGTAGCTTTTATTGTAGAAAACTAAACGATAGTCTAACAATGATTAAGTGACTGTTTTTAACAGTTTACTATTTATTTTATGTTTTAGACCGTCATCACCGTTCCATTTAAATAACTGATTTCTAAAAATTTATGTGGCGTAAAGTTTGTTTTTTTTCAATCTTACTGGTTAAAGTATAATATATATATATATATATATAGATTACATTAAATTTAATAAAATAATGTTAATAGGTCCTATAAAATAGAAGTGATGTGTGCTAGAAAATTTGCGGCGGTAGAGTAATGGATTATCGTCTTAGTGTTGCGCGAGGATTCAGCATACACTCAGGTGAAAATGAATTAAGTTGTGATAACACCAGAAGTTTTTACGTGGAAAACCAGTAAAGGGGAAAAACGACGGGACCTGGCACAGTCACAGGGTCTGACCCATTTGTAAAAATCCACTATAAGTTGATGATTACAGATGCCCCTTGTCCCACAGGCGGAAAAGGATTACTAGTTTTCCAAGTTACAACGTCGACTGACGACGTCTAGTCAGCGGTGTTTGACGGAGGTCGGCGGTGATCGACGATAGTTGATGATAATCGATGACGGTCGGCGGTGATTGATGGAAGTCAGTGGTGGCTGACGACAGTCGATGACGGTCAGCGGTGGTCGACGGAGGTCAGCTGTGATCGACAGTGGTTGTCTACGGTTAGTGGTGGTCGATGACGATCGACGATGGCTAGGATGACCTTGGACTTGAACTCCTTCTCAAAGCCTCAAGTTCTCTCTTAAGCCTATTCCCTTTTATGTGAGGGGTGAGGCTCTATTTATAGTGTTTTGAGTCCAAGAAATACAAGAATATGAACCATTTTGATCGGACGGTTCGGAGAGCTTCCTTTGATCAGATGACGTTTGATGGACATTTGAGCGACTTAACAATGTCGGAATTGAGCAATCTTAGGCTCGTTGGATTATTCTTGTCGAGACGATTGATTTGACAATAAATTCGCTAGATTCGACATCCGTTTGACCTTTCAAATGCTTCAGAAATCTTACAATAGTGGTTTAATGATTTGATCCGGGCTTGATTTGACTTGAATTAGACTGATTTTCATATCATTAAGTTTATCTCATCGAGCCGATCAGTCTGACTATAAGTTTGCTACAACAAGAACTACTGCTACTCTACTTACAGCTTTACAACCACCATTTCAAAGAACTGCTACTCTAAACAAACCTCAAGTCTCAATTTAGGATGAAACAAAACCAGCAAGCTCTAGACACTAATCTTCGTTTTGTCTCCTCCTATAATCCCAAAGATCTTCTAATAATCAATCATATCCTTTAAGACCTCCAATGTGTTAGAAACGGTGGAGCTCGGTCATCTATGCTTGGGCGGTTACTTTGCTTTGGAGAGTCACACCTCTTCACAAATAACCACTCCCGCCTTCCTCTTTTGTGAAGTGAAGCATCTCTTCACCCCCTCCTATTCATGATTAAAGATTCAGATGGTTTTCCTTGGGTTTAGTAGTCACACTTTGAGTTCTTCGGTTTCCTCGGGATAGATGAAGGTTTCCTCGGAGCAGAGGAAGAGAAGTGCAAGGAGGAGCAGTTCCTTGCGGCAAAAGAAAGAAGAAAGAAGAAGAAGAAAATTGTTCTCCCTAGGCTTTTTCTTGGTGGCTTACGACATAAGAGAAATTGGGTTTATTTCTCTTGTAAGTTTTTTTCTTCGGTGTATCTCGGTATAGAGAGAGAAGAATAGAGAGAAACGAAGAGTGAGAGATCCTCTTGTAAGTCGAGGTGATCGACTGTTATAAATTCCTCAAGAAGTAAAATCCTCTGCAACTCCATGGACGTAGATAATTTGTCGAATCACGTAAATATGTGTGTTTCACTGTGTTGTTTTTCTGTGTGATTTTTCTAGTTCTTTTTTTCACTTTGTCTATCATTCTCATGTTTAATTTATATATATATACCACATCAACTGGTATATATAGATCTCGCAACAACAACAATTGATATCAGAGCTTTGTTCGGATCTGAGGAAGAATGATGGCTGCAGATGAAATGAAAATTTCAGGGATTGAGAAGTTTGATGACACAGATTTTGGTTATTTATTAGAGAATACAGATAGAGGATTATCTTTATGGGAAGAAACTTCATCTTTCGTTATTGGGGAAAAGACCTGAAAAGATGGATGAGGCTAAATGAAATTTGTTGGATCTTGTTGGATCGACTTGGATCGACAAGTTCTGAGGGTTATTTGATTGACCCTATCGAAGTCAGTAGCACACGTCGTTGTCAAGGAAACAACAAATATAGATCTCATGACAATCTTATCAGGTATGTATGAAAAGTCATCGACGAATAACTAAGGTTCACTTGATGAAGAAGTTATTCAAGTTGAATATGGTGAAAGATGTTTTTGTTGCTTAACACCTGAATGATTTCAATAATATCACAAATCAATTGTCGTATGTGGAAATTGATTTTGATGATGAGATATGTGCACTGATCTTGTTGGCTTCATTGTCAGATAGTTGGGAAGCCATGAGAATAGCAGTTAGGAGTTCTGCAGGTAAATTTAAACTGAAATACGATGATATTCGTGATTTGATTTTGGCTGAGGAAGTTCACAAGAAAGATTATGGCGAGGTCTCAGGTTCGAGTTCAGCACTGAATGTTGATTTCATAATGAGGTGGCATGACAGAAACTCAAGTATAGGGAAATCAAAATCAAAGTTTAGTAAGCAGACAACCTGTTGGAATTGTGGCAAGACTGACTACATAAAGAGGAATACATAAAGAGGAAACTACATAAAGAGGAACTGCAGAAATCCTAAGAAGATGGAGAAAGATAAAGCAAATGTGGTATATGAAGAATCATAGGATGCATTATTGTTGGTAGTTCATAGTTCTGTTGAAGACTTTATATTGGATTCAAGGGCTTTGAATGTGGTAGGAAATCTACCTGAGGCCACAGTGCAGGGCAGAGTTGGAAGTGAAGAGGAAAGTGGGTCCGGGGCACCCATTCCTATTGTTCCACAGATAGATATTAAAGAACCACAGAGCTATGAAGAAATCTTGTAAAATGAAAGTTCGAGCAAGTGAGAGCTAACAAAACTTCCACCATGGAAGAAGACATTGCACAACAAGTGGGTGTACTAGGTGAAGACTGAGCGTGATGTCAGTAAGATGTACAAGGCTAGACTTGTTGAAAAAGGCTTTCAGCAGAGACAAAATGTTGCTCGTGCAGTGGGAGTTGTAAGAAGAGACAAGAGTGACCCAGGAAATAGCTTGGAGGTGCAAAGCTATGTGGATTCTGCTAATATGTTAACTAAGGGTAATACTCTTGAGAAACTGAAGTTGTGCATAGTTTCAGTTGGTCTTCTGGAGTGAAGACAAGTGAAGACAAAGGCTTTGACAAAGGCTTTGAGTAACAGAGGTGGATGATTCATGGTGGAGGATACATGTTGAAGAAAAAGGCGACACCACCAATGGAGGATATCAGTTTGAGGAAAGAGATGTTGAAGCCTGTGTACTAGTCTCCAAGTGGGAGAATTTTCAGAAACGGTGGAACCGGTCCACTATGCTTGGGCGGTTACTTTGCTTTGGAGAGTCACACTCTTCAAAAATATCCACTCCCGCCTTCCTTTTTTGTGAAGTGAAACATCTCTTCACTCCCTCCTATTCGTGATAAAAGCTTCTAATGACTCTCCTTGGGTTTATTAGTCACGCTTTGAGTTCTTCTTTGGTTTCCTCGGGGTAGAGGAAGAGAAGTGCAAGGAGGAGCAGTTCCTTGAGGCAGAAGGAAAAAAGAAAAAAGAAGAAAAGATTGTTCTTTCTAGGCTTCTTATTAGTGTCATGTGGCAGAAGAGAAATTGAGTTTATAAATTGAGTTTATTTCTCTTTTCTCTTGTAAGTTTATTTTATTCGGTGTATCTCGGTATATAGAGAGAAGAATAGAGAGAGAAGAAGAGAGAGAGCTGCGAAGAGTGAGAGATTCCTCTTGTAAGTCGATGTGATCGACTGGTGTAAATTTTTCAAGTAGTAAAATCATCTGCAACTTCGTGGACGTATGCAATTTTCCGAATCACATAAATCTATGTGTTCCGCTGTGTTGTTCTTTTTTTGATGTGATTTTTCTCGTTTTATTTTTCACTTCGTCGATCATTCTCCTGTTTTATTTATTTATATATATACCACATCAATATATATACTACATCAATTCATATATCTAGATCTCGCAATAACAACACAATGCACCCACCATTGGAACCCTTCAAAGCTCACATATGGGCTTTCTAAGAAATCCAAACCAACTCAATAAATTAAGAGAAAGATTTTTACTCTTCTTTCCTTATTGAAGATGATGAATCAAATCGAGCCTTGTTGCCCATGAGAGTATAGTTGGTTGTCTGGTTATTTCATACATATTCAAATATAATTCTCAATGATCGAGCTAGTATGGTGAATCCACCATCTAAAATTTTTATACATAGTTTGAGGTCATGAGATTCCTTCTAAGCAGCATAATTCATAGTTGCTAATAGAGTGTTGTATTGTTAAATTAATCAGATTATATTCATAATTAAGTGATATTGAGAATGATAATTTTAAGATGATGAATCCATATCATTCTAACTTTTTCTTAATGTGTTACTCATAGGTTCTCGTTATCCTTTAATGTGTGTTAACTCCCTTTTAATTTAGAGTGATTCAATAACTATCATCTTGTTTATTTTCTATGTTTAGAGATAATCGCCTTGCTTAGTTATAGTGTTTCATCATTTGTCTTATGGATTGAGTTTCTTAAAACATATGCAAACTTATTATGATAGTAATCCTTGAATTATAGAATAATTCATGATATTAATTAAGTTAAATTAGACTATTTTATCTATAAAATGTCTCTCAGAAGCACTCTCTTTATAAGTATCTAAGGGGAATTAATTTCCTTCACTATACTAATCAACTTAGATTATTTATTTAGTTTTAAATTGACTATTTATTTTGTTCATATGACTTCTCATGAGTATTTTACATTAGTTGAGATGTGGCATTTTTAGTCCAATCTCATTACATATATCTTATTGTAAAATTTCATACACAAGACAAGGAATCTTATTTTTCTCCTCAACAACTACCACCGTGACTAATGCCAAATATCACTTCATAATGTGTTGAAATCGTTATCACTTATAATGATGTGCTTCATCAACAAAGTCAACTATTTCGATCAATAATATCTTCTTAGTCATTAAGCCCAAGAGAAATGAACTTCATTGTCTCTTTTTTTTATATAATCATGATATTTTCAATTTGTTCTTATAAATCAGATTATTTTATAAATTTGATTGAAGCATTTGAATTACCTAGATTAACTTCAAAGGGAATAATTGATTCTATATGATATAAGAACTTCATATGATTCAACTGCCTCTCGCAAAAAGCACGAATGGTGTGTTTATATATGTATGTATGTGTGTGTGTGTGTGTGTGTGTGTGTGTGTCGCATACTCAGATTAGTTGATCGGGCATCTGCTTGTCAGTTGTATGTCTTCACTGGTATTCAATTCCCCCTATGGAGGGTGTGGTATTCAAATTGTTAGGAGCATCGGGAATTGTCGGGGCTCGTATAATAGCCTCAAGTCATTCCTTTGGAAACACACACACACACACACATACATTCAACACCTATTAAAATAAACATCAATAGAAAACACAATAACATGAAAATGCTCAGGTCTGATGAGAATGAATCATGGGCCACACACAAACTAACTTGTAAATATTTTTATAAGTTACAAGCAAATAAAGGTGAAATATCGCAAAGGAATTATAACTCTAATGATTTAAAAATGTTTCACCGTTATAAAGATAATTCGTTGTCTGATGTTATTGGGAATCACTCATAAGAGTTCTAAAATTAGTTACTTGTGATTGAATACAACATTAATAAACAATATATCATCTTGAAGGATATAAATACTATCATAATTCCTACACTTAATAGATCTAATTTTGAAGTGATTATTTCACTATTTTGTGTAGTTGTGGACCATAATTCTTTCATGCATCCAAAAAAAAAAGAAAAAAACAAGATTTATTTTAATTTCGAGGCATAATTTCCCTAGAGACAACCCTTTCTAGCTAATAAAATCATAAGAAAATGCATTTTCTAAGAAATTTCTCAATTTAAAAGGTAGCTAACATTATTTGATGATTTTATTGTTTAGTTTCCAGTATTGTATTTTAGAATTTAAAAATGAATTAAAGGAGTAGGGAGCACAAGATATTGAGAATGCCAGTGATTACCCTATTATATCTTATGATTGGGATTTATATTAATATTTGATTTAAGTTATGCACGTTTTAGAATGTAGAAACATTATTACCCTAAACGTATGCAGAAATGCATACACTGTCCGATCTACACCGTTCATCATTTTTAAAAAAATAAAAAATGAGGTCCACCAAAATACATGTTTGCTCTGATGAACGGTGTAGATCAGACAACGTCTGCATTTCTACATACGGTGTCCGCATGGAATAATTTTTCTAGAATAGAATGTAAGGACCTATGTTAGAAGGAAAGAGTCATCGAAAATTCTTGGAGAAGCTATTCCCATGACGAGGCCAACAAGGTCACCTCAGACCTTAAACAAAGACGAGCTCTGTTTTCTGAAAAAATAGATGATTCTTCATTCATCACTCTGGTTTGGGCGTGCAAGGCATCTTCAGGAATCTATAAGAAAATAGATGTTAGCACTGTAATATAGGCAAAGCACAACAACATATCATAAACAAAGCAAACCATATGACCTTAGTCCCCTCGGGCAGCACATTTCTTTGTCAAGTTTTTCCTAGGTTCTTTTATAGGTTTTTCATGTCTTTTCTTCCTTCTTATCTATAATTCTCTGTTGTTTCCTTTTGTTCATTTTTCTGTACTTCGTTGTTTCTTTTTTTTTACTGTGGTTACACGACTGACTTGTAAATATTTTTATAAGTTACAAGCAAATAAAGGTGAAATATCACAAAAGGAATTATAGCTCTAATGATTTTAAAATGTTTCACCATTATAAAGATAATTCGTTGTTTGATGTTATTGGGAATCACTCATAAGAGTTAAAATTATTTACGCGTGATTGAATACAACATTAATAAACAATATATCATCTCGAAGGATATAAATACTATCATAATTCCTACAATTAATAGATCTAATCTTGAAATGCTTGTTTCACTATTTATGTGTAGCTGTGGACCATAATTCTTTCATGCATCCAAAAAAAAAAAAAAGAACAAGATTTATTTTAATTTCGAGGCATAATTTCCCTGAGGCATAATTTCCCTAGAGACAAATTTCCCTAGAGACATAACCCTTTCTAGTTAATAACATCATAAAAAAAAGAATTTTCTAAGAAATTTCTCAATTAAAAAAGTAGCTAACATTTTTTTACAATTTCATTGTTTAGTTTCCAATATTGTATTTTAGAATTTAAAAATGAATTAAAGGAGTAAGGAGCACAAGATATTGAGAATGCCAGTGATTACCCTATTATATCTTATGATTGGGATTTATATTAATATTTGATTTAAGTTATACAAGTTTTATAATGTAGAAAAATTATTACCCTAAACATATGCAGAAATGCATACACTGTCCGATCTCCATTGTCTATCATTTAATAAAAAAATTAAAAATGGGGTCAACCGAAATACATGTTTGCTGTGATGAACGATATAGATCGGATACGCTATCCACATGGAATATTTTTTTCTAGAATAGAATGCAAAGACCTATGTTAGAAGGAAAGAGTCATCGAAAAATTCTTGGAGAAGCTATTCCCATGACGAGGCCAACAAGGTCACCTCAAACCCTAAACAAAGACGAGCTCTGTTTTCTAAAAAAAAATAGATGATTCTTCATTTATCATTGTGGTTTGGGCGTGCAAGGCATCTTCAGGAATCTAAAAAAAAAAATAGATGTTAGCACTGTAATATAGGCAAAGCACAACAACATATCAACAACATATCATAAACAAAGCAAACCATATGACCTTAGTCCCCTCGGGCAGCACATTTCTTTGTCAAAATTTTCCTAGGTTCTTTTATAGGTTTTTCATGTTTTTTCTTCCTTCTTATCTATAATTCTCTGCTGTTTCCTTTTGTTCATTTTTCTGTACTTCGTTGTTTCTTTTTTTTTAACTGTGGTTACTATTTTCTTTTTTATGAAGTGTTGTTTTCTCATTGTTGTTTTGCTAATTGTTAGTTTTATTTTGATGATCTCATTTCGTTTTCTTATACTCTTAAGTTTTTTCTGTTGCATGATTCTTCTTATATTGATTATGTGTCTTTTTTTTTTTTCAATTTTGTTTTGCTTTTGCTGTTATGTCCACATGTTTTTTCTTAATGTTTAATTGTTTAATATATCATTTTGCTCCTTGTTTTGTGAATGCATGATGTATTTGAGACTTGTTGTATGTCCAAATAAAAATGTGTTTGCATGCATCTCAAAGCAGATGAGCGATCCGAGAAGGAAGCATGACTAATGGGGTGAAGCAATAAACAATTGTTTCTAGACAAGCGGTGACGGAAATCGCTCGCCTAAGTGATCGACATAAGGAGAGTAACGGAAGTCTTTCAAGACAACCATCAACGCAGAACAATTGATGAGGAACACTCCTTCGGGTCAAGAACTGATTGAACCGAAATTTGTTTGACGATCGATCTTTATCAATCGAAAGGGTAGCGGGGGTTAATATATGCAAATAATATTGTAAATTATGGAAAAATGGCTTTGAAAGATTTATGATTAGGCGGCTGACATGTATTTTTATCATGTTGGAGGTACTTCCATTTAAAAAAAATAAAGATGAACTTCACACTCATTTTCTAAATAAATAAATAAATAATCCAAAATAAAAATTGTGACAAGTAAACCGAAGAAGTCGACGCTCCCATAAGAAGAAACAGACTGCCGTTCTCTCTCGCATCTAATCCGTAGCAATGGCGACAACAACGCCTTCCAAGTCTGTACACTTCTCTCATCTCGTTAAAACTCCCGTCTTTCCTTGTCGCCACTGGATCTCCAACCTCCAAATCCCAACTCTTCCCTCTCCTCTCAAAACCCTAACCCTAACTCCTAGAAGATCCCTCATCGCCCCTCTATTCGCCGCCGCCGACAATAACCCCACCTCCTCCAGCCCCATCAAAACATTCCACGGACTCTGCTACGTTGTCGGCGACAACATTGATACCGATCAAATCATCCCCGCCGAACACCTCACTCTCGTCCCATCCAAGCCCGACGAGTACCGCAAGCTCGGCTCCCTTGCTTTCGTCGGCCTCCCGACTGCGTCATACCCCGTTCCATTTGTCAACCCCGGCGACAACTCCACTCGTTTCTCGGTCGTCATCGGGGGCGACAACTTCGGATGCGGGTCCTCCCGCGAGCACGCTCCTGTTGCGATCGGAGCCTCCGGTGCACGCGTCGTCGTGGCGGAGAGCTATGCGCGGATCTTCTTCAGGAACTGCGTGGCCACCGGTGAGGTCTACCCTTTGGAGACGGAGGAGGTCGGGATCTGGAAGGAGTGCTCTACTGGGGATACTGTGACTGTTGATCTTGCAGGTAACCGCTTGATTAACCACACTAAGGGGAAAGAATATAAGCTGAAGCCGATTGGGGATGCCGGCCCGGTGATTGAGGCGGGAGGGATTTTTGCTTATGCGAGAAAAACGGGAATGATTGCTTCCACGGCTGCTTAAAAGTTATATTTTTGTGTGTGTGTGTGTGGGAATAATCCATGTTCTGTAACATCTTCGGACTCTAGAGATTGCTTTTGAGTTGATGAAGTGGTTGTTGGTGTTCTTTTAGAGGTCTTGAATTATTGAGTTGGATGGCTTGAGGTTTGATTAATAGAGTTTTAAAAAATAAAATTGCCAGCAAAGTATGTCAACAATCTATGAAATAAAAGCCATATTTATCATACCTTTTTATCAAAAGTTTAAAAATCTTCTAAGTTTCTTTTGAATTGATTTTATGATTATTAATTGATGAGCTCATCACCCAAACATGAAAGATAACAATTACTCAATTGCAGCCAAGAAAACTTTCATACAAATTCAATTTACAAACTTTATCTACCAGAACTTTAGCTCTACATATAACAAATACTTTAATTTATTTATTAAAAAAGATAAGAAAAAAACAATAATAGAATTCTTATATGAAAAAAAACAAAAAATCACACAACTTAAAACAATACATGAAAACATCTAAAACAAGCAAAGAATGTTCTTCAACATTCCATCAATCACAGAGTGTAGTGCTGGTTGTAGTTATCATCAATGTCTAAGCCCTTCAATTTGGCCGCAGTTTCCACCTTCGCTTTCAACGTTGACAGCTCCCTCAACCTGCATTAGTGATAAAAGAATAAGTTAACAAAATTCACATTACAAAATTTCAAACAAAGAAACTGATTTAAGTTAACAATAAGATAAAATTGGTTCATATTTGATAAGTTCAGAAACTAAATTGAATGGCTCAGAAAACTACATAACTAATAAATGAGCAAAATGGCAAAATTAGTCTCTAGACATGGAAAAATTATTCCATACGGATCGGACTGTAGATCACCTGATCTACGGTCCCGATGTATTTCGGTGGGCCCCACCTAAAAAATTTTTTTATATAAAAAAGATAGAAATAATCCTGACTACGGCCAGGATTGAACACCGCATGCAGAGATGCATGCGGTGTCCGCACGCAATAATTCCTCCTAGACATGAGCGCAAAAATAATCGCATATGACAAGGCACGGGGGCTGCATTTACATTTTTTTATAAAATTTAGGATTAAAATGATCATCAACAAAGAATTAGGGGATGATTTTGATTACTTTTTCTTTTAATAAATCCAGATTATTTTGTTAAGTTACTCTAATTTCAACTGTAAAACTCACCTCTCTATCTCTGCACGTTTTCTGGCTTCTTCAGCCATCTGATTAATATCAGAGAATGTACGGGAGAACTTTGGTTCTGCAGTCTGAAGGCCATGAAGCGTACGCTGCTCAAGAGCCCATGCGGCTTTACGAGCTTCGCGACCAAAGTCGTTCTTTCTTGTGAAGGCCATCTGAGAAATTCAAATGTAGGCATAAAGATCACAATAAAAAAAGGGGGCATTTACATTCATACCACTCAATTCTTATGTTTTTACATATCTAACACCTAAACTTTACTTTCTTACATTTGCACCAACCAAAGCTTTCATATCATATAAAAAAATATAACTATTTTTTACTTTTAAAAAGTGAAACACATATTTTCATGCATAGGTGATGCGGTGAAGAATATTTACATGGAGCCATTTTAGTTTTGGAGTTATTAAAAGTGCTAAATTAATCAAAAGACTCTTTTAGTTGGACTAAAATAGCCGTCCCTATTTTAGCCCATATTAAAAAGTTTTGGAGACTAAATTGACACTTTTATAGATTTTGGGATTAAAATGAACCCCTTGAAAAGAATTAGAGAATTATTTTGACACTCTCTCATAATGTGGCATATATGTAAAAATTGAAGTTTGGGTGATAGATATGTAAATACTTAGGAAATGAGTGGTATGTATGTAAATCTATCTAAAAATAAGTATTAATAAGATTCATGCATGAAAACTCTGATGTTTGGTTACCTTATTATCCAGGACCAAGTTCCAGGCTCTCCCACTCATGGCATATCGAACTCCAATTTTGATTGGATCAAGCAGTAAGTAGACAACAATATTATAAATCCAGATAACTCCTGTCCAACCCCAACCAATTCCTCTGATTCCGGCGAAGTCCCAGTCAGCAACGGCAGTTAACACACTCGCAATCTACATCAATGAATCAAAGTGCCATTTTTAATATGGCTTAAATCCTGAGATACATTTTGAGAATATCATAAAGCAAAAATTTCTTCACGGAAACATGTCCAAATTTCCAAGACACTGTTTTTCTCCAAATGTTGCAATAAATTTATTGCATTTTCATCTAGAAATAATGATTGGTTTCATAAAAATAAGAAAGATATTCATAAAAAAATGATTTTTAAGGATGTGACAATAAAGAATGGCATCAACACATGGAGCCACAATATGAGCACTCCGAGAGCTTCAAAGATAGCAACGTTATTTGTGTTAGAATTACTAGTTATATAGTTCAAAATCAACTAAATCTGAAGTATGTTAAGGAAAAGTTTGCTTTTGCACAATTCCGAACAAAGTTTTAAAGAACATATTAACCTTGCACATAATAGGAAACTAAGGGGCTGTGTGGGATCACTTTTGTTTTTTGTTTTCTATTTCCTATTCTTTATTTGTATTTTGTTTTGTTTATGTTTTGATTTAAAATAAAACATATTTGTTATGTTTGATTAAGATATGATTGTTTTTAAAAATATTTGAAATACCTAAAAATTATGTTGTGTTCTCAAAAATATTTTTATTTATTTTTAAATGGAAAGGGGAAAATAAATTAAACCCAGACAAGGCCTAATTCTCCAAACTATAAAAAGCAAGATGGCGCACTGACCAGTTGAGCGATAAAAAATGCGGCGACGAGAAGAAGACCAGGTCTTTCCAAGAAAGACCAACTTCTGGAGCGCGTCACGAAGATTAAAGCCTGGCTAATGGTGCTGACTTGTAGGTATACAGCCGAAGCCAACTCTTGCGAATTATAGAAGAGAGCGGAGTTATCTTGTGGGTTTATATTGTTCTTGTTGAAGTTCTTCACCTTGAATATTTTCTGCATAAAAGGTAGCAATTAGATCAGTATCCACAGATGGTTTCCTGTATGATTCATGCTTAACTTTCAGTGTATGATTTATCTGGCTATTAAACCCCAATCATCAAGAAAATAAAGGGTGTAAGGAGTTCTTACATACTAACTTTCTGTAAATTGAACTATAATATATGAATACTTCAAAATTATGTTTTGGAAAATCCCTCGTTCGGAAAAAAAGGGGGCATTTACATGCATACCATATAAATCTTATAAATTTACATATCTAGCGCCTAAACTTTGATATTTACATGCAAGCGACTCATATATTTAACATCACATAAAAAATATCACTATTATTAACTTTTTAAAAAGTGAAATACACCTTCTCATGCATAGATTTATAGCACCAACGTATTATAAATTTAAACATCAAAGTTTAGGTACTAGATATGTAAAAACATAAGAATTGTGTGTTATATATGTATATTTCCTTAAAAAAAATCTGAGATCAGTGAATGCATTTAGAACCATGTTTACCTCAAAAAAGTCGGTCTGATGAGCTGCATAATAGAATAGAACAGTGCTGAGACCAAGATAGATTCCAAGAGCCAATCCAGTTGCAAAAATTTCGGTGAGGTTCCACTTATCAGGTAGCGGTGAAGGTCGGACCCTGTCCTTGGAAATAGTCATGATGGTTCCTGGCAATGGAATAATGCACGATTAGGAGAAAAATTAATAATAATAATAAAAAAAGCACGATAACATGAAAAGAGAAATTATGGAAACGAGACACAAATTTGATACAAACCATCATTCAGAATTGCAATTACAAGAACCATGAATGGAGGAAAATCAAATTTCCAGAAGACGTTCAGCAGCATAAATCCAATCTGTTAACATTGAAAGTAAACATGTCAACATATTGTTAATTGTGCTTAAATATCAGTTACTTCTCTATAAGGCCAATTGGGCTTGTTTAAGCTAAAAAAATAAAGCACATTCATTAGAAAATGAATATGTCAACGATAAGAGACTTTTTCTATAATTGTATTTCCTCTCTTTAATTTGCTTAATATTCACATAAATGAATTTCATAATGTGCAATGTTTAATTTTATTTGTATCCACTCCCTTACCCCCAACTAAACTAGGGTTTCCTATTCATTCGTATGAAAGTTACACAAGTTAACGATATTTTGAGCAAATTTTTCCATAGTTCTAGTTCTGCTAGTTTGGTACAACCTACCATTTTTATTCCTAATATTCCATATAAATATTTTACTTGCCTTAGTGCAGCAACATGTATCCACCATTTTAAATGCTCAAATCTCCATTTTCATTGGCTTATCTTCAATAGATTCTATTCTCACCATTCATCTATTGTCATTTCTTTGCTTCATCTTCCTAGTTTTATTATATAATAGAAATTTTAACAATTGTAGAAGATTTTTCAACTAAATGATCTTTTAAATAAGTTCAGTTATAACAATGAAAAAAATACAACATATAAAACAAAAAAATGAAAACGAATTATTAGCTGCTCACCACAATACGGACGGTGATTGAAACAGCATATATCTGAAAAATAAAGGTAATGCATCATCAGTCGGCATCAGCACGTTCAGCATAGATATAATTCTCTATGAAGTACAAATTGAAATGAGATAACAATGTTATTCTTTCTATTATAACATTCAATGGAAGCAAAGATATAATTTAAAATATACCCAGTATTTTTTAATTTTGACTGGCCCTTAAGTGCGGAAGGAAACATAATATTTTAGAAAACTTATATACCGTATAGTTCTTCATCCTCTGAAAAATTGCACGACTTGTTAAAACAGCACTAATTATTACGCTTAACCCAGGTTCCGTAAGAACTATGTCTGAAGCACTCCGCGCAGCATCAGTGGAATCAGCTACAGCAATACCTATATCTGCCTTTTTAAGTGCAGGTGCGTCGTTGACACCATCACCAGTCATCCCACAGATATGCTTCCTAGCCTGAAGTTTCCTCACAATTTCATACTTGTGCTCTAAAATATGAGAAAAATAGATTTAGAAGTGTTGTCCAATACACACGAGTTATAAAGATAATGAGTAAAATGCCAAATTGTTCCCTTGACTATTTATATTGGATCATTTTAGCAGAAATCTATAAAAATTTCAAATTAGTCCTCCGCTCTTTAAATGGGGGCTAAAATAGTCCTCACAAAAGGCTTATTTCATCCCATATTAAAAGAGCCAGGGGACTAAATCGTCACTTTAATATAATCTGAGACTAGGATGACCCTTGTAAGGAATCGAGGGATTATCTTGACACTTTTCTTGAATAAAAACAAATTTACCTGGAAAAACTCCAGCAAAACCATCAGCCTGTTCGATGAGCTCATCAATAGGAAGACCAACAGCATCTTGATCCTTAGTCTCGCCTAATAAAGATGATGATGGGTACATATTCGTGCCCATTCCAAGCCTTCGACCGGTTTCCTTGGCAATGGCCAACTGATCACCTACATAATTTCATATTTACAAAAGTTAGAAGAAAACCACAAGACAGGTTTCATGATTACTATAAAAAGACTATATACATTCTCCATAATGAGAAAATATGGTCAACCATGTAAAAAAAGTATACCATCACATTCAAGCGTGTAGTATGCTATAGATTTCAATTAAGAAAATTGTCAGAATGGTCCCCTGAGAGGGCCATTTTAATCCCATAAATTATCTAAGTGTCAGTTTAATCCCCAAACTCTTTGCATATGGGCTGAAATAGTCCCAAATGAGGACTATCATAGCCCTAATTAAAGAGACCAAGGACTAATTTGACACCTTTATAAACACCGAGCTTAAAATGACCTCAATTAAATAGTCTAGAACTATTTTGACACTTTGCTAGATTTCAATTCAAAGCATAATTGTAGTATCAGGTTTAAATTTAGAAAAAAATAATGTAGACAAGATTTTGCACAAATGGTCACAGTAAAATATATTTCTGAAAAGAAAATCACACCAGCAAAGGTTAAAAAGTATAAAAAAACGAAACCGATGATTCAATTGAATGTACGCATGATCTATTATTAATAAATATTCTATTAGTTCATCTTAGATTTCACAATGAACAGGTCATTTTAGGCTACATACATGTCACAAGATCCAAATAGCAAGCATAAAAAGACATAAGAGACAAACCTGTGATCATCTTGACGCTAACTCCCAGATTCAGAGCCCTTCGAATCGTTTCAGCACTATCATGGCGAGGAGGATCAAACAGTGGGAGAAGTCCAACAAACTCCCATGGTCCCCCAGGAGAATCCTTTGAACCAGCAGGTACAGCCTAAACAACAAAGTGGAAAATAACAGCTCCAGTCAACAATGAACATAGAAAAATAAACCCAATCTACAACAGAAAATTCAGTTGATAAACTCATGAAGATAAGCTAACGACTAACCTGATAGGCAACAGCAAGCGAACGAAGCCCTCTTTCAGCAAATTTGTCAATAATCGCATGCACTTTGTTTTCAATTTCTGACTTGTTCCATGAAAGATTCAGAATCTGCGGAAGTTTAGATTTTTAATTTAGTGGGCATGGTGAGAGCTTAATTCTGGTACTTCTGTAGTTCAAACAATCTTCTTTTGTTGCAGAAAATAAAATTTGTCTTCCTTGAAATCCTAAAAATACTATTGCCGTTTGCATACAGAAAAATAATTAAAAATTAGAATAAAACCCAAAATAGTCCCTGACAATTCAGATATGATTAATTTAGTCCCCGAGTTTCACACTGATCTAATTTAGTCCACCGACAAGTAAAAACTGATCTCAATTTATTCCCAAGAAGTGTTCATAGGGGTTTATTTTAGCTCCAGAGCCTACTAAAGTGTCAATCTAGTCCTCATGCTTTTTAATGAGGGCTAAAAAGTCCCCAAAGAGGATTATTTTAGCCAATTTTAAAAGAATTTCGGGACTAATTTGACACTTCCATAGACTAACAAAATAAAATGGCCCCATGGAAATAGTGAAGAAACTATTTTGACACTTTACTCATTTATTCCCTAAAGGACCAACTGGAATCAAATGTCAATGGTCAGACAACTAAATTGGAGCACTGTAAAACTTTGGGACTGATGGTCACACTTGAATGCTTGGGGGAATATTTCGGAATTTAACCCTTTAAAAATTTACAAGGACTATATTACCCAAGTACTAAAAGTACTCGTCATGTAAAATAAACAAAAATAATGATGGATTCCAACAGATCTTCAAAAAATATCTATATATGCTTAAATCTGATAAAATGTGAAAAAAATATATACCTGCTCTGGTGCACCTTTGCTTGTCCTATGCATTTTACCATCAGCATCTAAGTATGTGAGAGCCGTTCTCTTGTCAGTCGGGTTGAAAGGAAGGAAGTGAACCTCTTGAATACCACCACGTGCCTATAGTAATTAGAAAATAGAGTGAGAAGCATCATTCAAACCAATATAAATGAGAAAAGTAGATACAATTAGTGTTAAGAGGATTAAAAGTAGAAGGATAGATATGATGTAAAATAGATAAAAAATTTTCAAAATGATTTGAGAAGAATGAATTTATCAGCTCCAATATCACTCGATAAAAACAAATGAAGCATATGGATTCATAAAACCAACCCCAATGGTTGGAATAAATCTAATAAGGATGAGAATAAATATTTCACAAACAAAACTACGCAACATGCAATAAGCTGCAGGAACCTCAACATAAAGTTCAAACTCATTTTACCTCTTTCAGGTCTGGCAACATGGATATAATTGCGGCATCAATAGCGTCCTGATTCTCAAGCCTTGATGCCCTTGCAGCCATTAAAACTACTAAATCCTTGTCATAACCTTTGGCAAAGACCTGCAACAATATTTGATCAATGCTAACCTATTAGCCACAAAAAATAATAAAAAAAGAACAAAATTTAGCTGCATGTAGATTCAAAGAAGAAGATCTGTTAGTTAGCATTCTATTTGATGAAGCAATAAGTAGAGTACATGAAAATTTAAAGTGAATTGACAAGTTTATCGTATGAATTATAAGAAATATGACCTCAATCAAATTCTTATCGACAGTGAGCTTGTTAAGAGTTAAGGTTCCTGTTTTATCACTGCAAAGAACATCCATCCCAGCCATTTCTTCTATAGCAGTCATCCTTTTTGTTATGGCACCCTACAAAATTGAAGAACCACAATAAAGTCCTCAATCTACAAACTGTTTTCAACATATAACCATGATGTTGGGGAATTAAAAAAAAAAGTGTAAACGCATGTAAATTGTAAACCTGTTGAGACAAACGATGTGATCCAATAGCCATTGTGACGGAAAGGACTGTAGGCATGGCAATCGGGATGCCACCAATAAGCAAAACAAGAATATTATCAACAACAGTTCTATACTTCCTTTCATGCACTCCACACATCACTATTATATCAATAACAATTCCAAAAGCAATCGAGCATATACAGAAGTTCCCTATGGCGGCTAAAACCTGCATCACGAGAAATAAGTAAAGGCCCAATACAAGCAATAAAAAATATAAGTTCAGAACGAAATGTGTAATAAAATGTTTCTAGGAACAGCAGATACCTTCTGAAAATGACCAACATGTGTAGTGGAATCCACAAGATGAGCTGCTTTGCCAAAGAAAGTATGGACTCCAGTAGCAATTACTACTGCTTCTATTTCTCCTTGCTTGCAAGTTGAGCCTGAGTATACAGCATCACCGGGGTACTTAGTTACCGGCAGGGATTCTCCCGTAAGAGCAGACTGGAAATTCACAAAAGTGCGACAATCATTTTATCATGCCTAAGTAGGAATTTCTATAGGAATTTACACATATACCAGCAATCATAAGCATGCAAAGTTGGAGTATATAACCAATTGATAAATTGCACAAGATAGGTGTATCTTTGTGGTACATGTACAAACTAAATATCTTCATCATTCCAATTATTTTTTGGATGCAGGTTATTCTATGTAAATATTATAAACTGCAATTAACTCAGATATAATCGATAGCCGAGTTAGGAAGGAGAATGTTACGTGCCAAGAAAAAAAAAATTGTGGACAGCCGAGTTAGGAAGGAGAATGTTAAGATAAATGTGAGGAAGACTTGGAATGATAAGGTACTAGAAAATAGGATTAGGTAATTTCAGCATATGCAAGGGATGGTAGGAGATGCATTAAAAAGATGGGTAAGAAGAACTGATGTAATAGATTAGGAAGTGAGGATGAAACGAAATCAACAACGCTATAAGTGAAAAATATTTATATACAATAGAGTTGACACCTCATTCAGCCAAATAGAAATGAATGGAGAGGAGTATTCATAGAGTTAACCATATATACTTGGTATAAGGCTAATTAAGATGAGGATGTGACCATAAAGCCAATTGAACAATTCTACTTCATATATTAAGTTTGTGGGTTCTATTTTTTCATGAGAAATGCACTTTAAACCCACTTAAATTGCACATTTTCAACATCTCATATTGAATGTCATAGAAGATGTGAAGATGACTCACAAACAACTAATGCACCAAGTTATTCTAAAATATGAGATGCTAAATGAGAAAATGTGTTGAAAATTTCATCAAATTTGTGGATGTGATAAGCATTGTTGTTTGTTCGTGTGTGTGCTTGCATATGTATGTATGTATGTAGTTAGAAGTAACTGTGTTTGCCATGTTATTCTTAAATAGGAAGATCTACATGCATACCACTTAATTCTATGTATTTACATACCTGATCAATTTTCAGAGGATCTCCTTGAAGAAGACGTCCATCAGCAGGATGTCACCAAGTTTAATACTGATTATATCACCTGGAACCAAAAGTGAAGCATCTATCTCGCTCCATTTATCATCTCGTAGAACCTGAACAAATTTGGATGCAACAATAAGAAATTGTACAGCGATAATAAGCTGGCAGTTATGAAATGAAGAATTTTCCTCTGAAAAACAAAAGGTCAGAAGAAAGACCTTGGCTTTTGGGGCCAGTCGAGACATTAGTGCAGCAGCAGCATTACCAGCATTATTTTCTTCGATGAAACTGATTGTCGAATTAATGATGAGTAGAATCAAAATTCCAACAAAGTCATGGTAATCAATTTCTCTCTTCTGCAAGAAGTAAGAATTGCTTGAGAAGAAAAACAAAATAAAATGCAAGATAAGATTCTCATGTTGCAAGAAAAGAATTCATCTCAATAAAACTGCCCACTGTGAGAAGGCCGAAGCCATGCATAGCTTTGTGAGAAAAATGAAGGGCAATATAGAAGAATAATCAGAAAGCAGAAAGATTTACAGTCTTTACACGCATTCCTCTCCCTCCCTTTCTCACTCTCTCTCACACAATCTCCTTCCTCTCCTTAAGAAAGTATAAAAACTCAACTATTAATTATATTTGGAACTACTTTCTCCTAATGTGTATCTTAATAATCCCTCGTTATTTGAGAGTCCTAACATAACAAACATCATTCTCATTGACATGAAGTCTTTTCAACACCGTTAATGTCATGAACTAAAATCTCATTCCACCACATGAAACTTGTGTTGAAGACACCATTTTTGAATATTACTTAGCCCTAATCAAAGCTATTGAGATCCACTTGAGATAAACCTATTGAGGCTCTAATAAATATTGATAGGAAGGCGAAACAACAAAGCCCCAGCTAAGCCAAAAATATTAATGGATAAACACTGATCAATTCAAAATCTTATGCCGCTGGCTAATAGATTCTACTAGAATATCAAAACCTCAACTATTATTTTTTATTTTGCCATGGACTATTTTCCATTTTTATGTGTATCTTAACAAGGATAGGGATAATTGTGTGCCTAAATTACTGCAATAACTAAAGAAGAATTGAATCCAAGCATTCAATCATGTAAAAGTCATCATTTTTAACAACTAGTATTATATACGCGAATAATACCTCTCCTCGTAAATCACGTCCTCCATGTGCAAGAGCAATTGCAATGATAGCTGCAGCTTCCATGACCCAAGATAATGGATTCCACATAAAACCCAAAAACTTGAGAATTTTATTTTCCTGCAAAAATGAAATTTAAAATAATAATTATGAAGGCATGAGACATCAGAAAACCTCAAATGAATCAGGCTATACATTCTTTTCTTCAAGCTTATTATGGCCAAACACAGCGAGTCGCTTCTGAACGCCATCAGAGTTTAAACCTTCCTTCGTACATTTCAAGTGCTCAAAAACCTCTTCAACTGGTACATTTTCCTACCAAAAAAACCTTTCATGAGAATATTATCATGTAAAACCAGGTTCACATTTATTCAGTCATCATGCTTTAGCTAATGGTAGGATGAAGAAGTATGGTCTGTTCAATATTCAATCAAATTGCCAATACATTCAAGCATGAAAATTTATTTACAAAAGAACAAAATTCTAAACGCTTGATGAGCTTTAATTAATAAAAGTCCATTTAGGAAACTTTTCACAACTTAGCTTTCTAGAAAATTGCACAGTTTTGTTTGGCTAAACTTTTTTGGTTGCTTTACAAAAATTTCTAAGATGAGAAGAATTTTTTTTTTTAACAAACAAATATGCTATGGTATGGAAGTTGTGAGAAAAACAATCCGACTTTATCACAAGAAAAATATTTACAACATCCACAATAATTTATAAAAAAAATCTTTTCCAACAACATACTTTCATAAACAGCTACAATTGCTCCAAATCATAAGTACAGCAACATTAATGCAGAAAAAGTATTAAACTTTCTCTTGTGGACTTCAACAACAAGAATATTTACTGATTAATTGTTCCACACACTAACAATTCAAGTAAATACCAAATTTTTACCAGGTTAATCAAATTAATTATGAAGCAAATTAACTTAATTCAAGCACTTAAAGGGAAAGGGAAATTATGATATAAGATAGTTTTGTTAGGAAAAGAGAACAAGCTGCCAATCTGTTAGTTTCTATTCATAAATCAATGGGTTTAAAAGTTTGAATTCAAAAAGCAAATCCACAAAGTAGGGTGTATACCAAATCAACAGCCTCCTGTTTAATAGCTTCAAGTGAAGTATCATCCATAGTAGCTTCCATGTCCTCAACACAGAGTCACTTGAGGTAGATTTACCTGCAAGAAGCAACATTAATTTTTAAATTCAGCCAGTAATAAGATTCTTTAAAGCAAGGAGAAAGACATTTCCACAACCCTTCGTCATCATATGTTCATATTTCTACTGGTTTGTCAATTCAAAGATTAAAATTAATCACATATCATAGACAATTCTGTGGCATAATTACTTCTATTTCGATCAATTACATATTTTCCGAGAAGAAAATAGAAAATCAACTGAAAATGCTGATGCAGAGATTATTCAAATTAAGTAAAAGGTAACGGTTGACCCCCTTTTCAATCCCCTCAAATTATCAATAGAAAAAAATGGTTCAAACAAATAATACCTCCGGCTAAAATAAGCCGGAAACAGCCAAATTCTCCGCCGCAAACACTAGATCATCCGCACCTCTCAATGATCCTCTTCTTCCTCTTTCCTCTTTTGGGGTAGAAGTAGAAAAACAATGCAGCACACATATATACTGATACTCTCCAGAGAGGTTGAGACAGATCCCAGGAACTAGATTGACTTAGCGCAGGAATCCGCATAGCGACGGCTTAAAGAAAGAAAGATGGAGAGCGTGGGTGATTGTACTTCGAAAGAAACCGGATGTAACGAAAGCATGACCATTTGGAGCCCCATTAGTGCAGGCAGGCGCTCGGATAACGCGCCCTTCTTTTCTGCCAGCAGGCAGAGCAAGGATTGGGAAGACATTGTCAGAGAATCAAATGGGTTTCGTATAGGGGTGTGTGATAACCGTCTATGAGAGTAGAAAATATTTTGACGGGATATCATACCTTCGCATGCTTAATCATCGGGGAAATATTTGCATAAGAACTGCATAATAACCTCCGCTTTCGGGTTATTAAGAGTTATTGGGAGGTTATTGAGGTATTAATTTCAGCAATAAATAACTCCAATAATTTTTCAATAATTTTCGTGAGTTCTATTTCGATGTTATTCATAAGTTATTATGGGGGTATTGTTGGTTTAATGGGGTACGCACGTAGAGCTGTGTGTATTCTGTATGCAAATATTTTCCCAATCAATGGGCCCATATCATCATAAATCTTATTACGGGCACGTGGCGGCCGTTGGTTGGTCGTTCGAAAGTGTGAACGTTCGTATGGGATATTTATTCCTATAAGAGAGAGCAGCAGATGAAGGAGAAAATATTATGAACACATGTATGCCTTCTTTTTATTCTCTTTTGGGGAAGAAAAAAAAACCTTACCCTAAATTTCATTGATAAAGTCAAAGATTATAAAAAAGTATAGGTTTTTGAAATAGAGAATCTTATAAGACCCATAAACAAGAAAAACAAAATGAAGCAATCCAAAAAGAAGAAGACAAAAAATCTAAGAAGAGCCTTTAAAAAAGTACAACAAATATTAAATATGTGGCTCCATCCAGGCTAAAAAAAGATCAAGTTTATGGTATTAGAGATGCATATCATTCACATAGAGCTCATAAGTTTTATGAGATTTATGCTTGACATCACAACTAAAAAATGATAGTTTTTTAGTTTCTTCTTGTAAACCGATTGTGTTATTGATCAATTTTTTGAATATCTTAATAGTGAACCCTTTTAAAAATACGACAATTAACCCATGAATGTTATTTAGCATGATGCTCTTGTAACTTAGCCTTACACTTCAGGCTTTGAATTCTCCACCTTAGGATGTAGCCAATAGAAGTTTGTCGGATTTTTGTTTCTCAATCATTAATTTAACAACTATAATATAGTGTTGAGCTTCAATAAACCTCTTTATGAATAATCCTTCGAGCTCGGAGAAAGTTTTAACTGATTTATTAGTAATGTTGTGTACTGGTCGAGTGCAATTCTAGAAAAACTATTAACAGATAAATAGAATAGAAATAAGTCGCTTCCCCAGGCATTAAAACAACTTGCACGAAAGTTCACCAAGCGTTGTCTTCGGTTGTCAGTTCCATCAAACACCGAAATGGTTGTGGTACAAACCCCTTTTGATATTGCACTACATCAAATTCCTTCGAATAAGGTCTTCCCATGGGTAATGATGAAATACCTTGAGCCTAGGCTAAGGCCTCTTTTACTTGTCGTTCAATTAGGGTCTTTAGATCTTCCTTAGGGTTTAATGGTAACTCTGACTTCTTCTTGGTGGCTTCATCCTCAATTTTCGTTATTTTTGGGCTTTCAATTTTACGTACAACTATAGATTTCTTCACTTCCACCTGCACCAGAGCAGGAATTTTATTTCGAAACTGAGGGGCTGAGGTTAGTATTTCTTCCATCTTTTTATCTAGCCTCTCTATCTGTTCATCTTTTTGCCTTAGTTGATTTGGAAGAAGTTGGGATGCATCCAGTGTTACACCTTCCTCAATCATAACATCCTCAGATTCGTTATCATCTTGACGTTCTCTTTTAGAAGAGCTAGTTTCGACCCCTCCCCCCAACAAGAATTTTTCTTCCTCTTTTTTGAGTTGTTGACACCCTTCCCCTCCCCACCCCCCACCCAACAAGAATTTTTCTTCCTCTTTTTTGAGTTGTGTTATATTGGCTTCCAATTCATTGATTATTTCGTCTTTTGGTTGGTCTACAATGTGTTTTGAAGATATTTTAAAATGTAGGGAGGATCCTTAGGTGATAATTGGTGAAAGGGATACATTGACAATGAAGTGAAAACATTTCTTGATTGTTTGGACATGATTAATATAGTGTCATCTATCTTTCTGCGCTTGGGATAGTGAGGGTGAGGCTTATCAGTTTGTATAGAGGAGTTCCCTCTAAATTCATGACCCATTATATCTTTGTATTTTGCAGTTTCACCATGTCTCAAAATCTTCCCTTTATTTTTATGAGATACAACACCTCCTTTAACTCGAAGGATTTCAATAATAGAGGATCCTTCTTTCATTGCAATGCTTTCTAATTTTTTGTGGAGTCTAGTTACATGATATTTTCTCTTTCTTATACTAGGAGTTTTATACTCGAACAAAAGTGGAGATGACATAACTATCTTATGAACTATTTCCTCCACTTGTGCAGCAAAGAGTGAATGAAACCTACTCCCACTTAGGAAAGGAAAAAATTCGGGTGAATCATGTTCACATCTATGTCCTTGTCAACTAAATTCATTTCTTTTGTAGCCCATGCAATCTTTTGTGAAGCCTTCTATTTTGATTTCATCATTGAGTTTTAGTCAGTGTAAGAGTCACTTCATCAGACGAACCGATCTTGAAGACATCGAGGATTTGAGCAGTTCATTGATTACTTCAGGAGTCTTACTGATTTCTATCTTTTCATAATATTGAATAGCCCAAGGAATAACAGCAACTGTTGCCGTCACAACATGGGTAGTCTCAATGGCTCGCTTTTTCAATGAAAAAATCTTCCTTATAATTGATGTTAAATTTCATCAAGGGTTCCTTATCATTGGTGATTCAAGGGCCTATTATGGAAAAGTTCATACCATCAATGTCAATTCCCATCTTGATCAGGGACCCAACGTCTAGATGACCTGGATTAAGGGTCAGATTACTTCCGTTTACAAGGGAGAATATGAGTTTAGTAGATATCTTTCCTGTAATGAGATACAAAGAATATGTCAACAGGAAGCCGTTTGTAGAATCTTTGAATTTTTAATGAAATTGAGACTAGATTTAATTTGACAAAACTTTCATCAAAGAAAACTGATGATAAAGCATATCCTTAAAGCTTTACTAATTAAATAAGGTTCAAATGTGTAGTTAAAAAAACATGAAGTTTTAGGATGAGAGGTGGGAATCATAGCACGGGTAAACTTTGTGGACCAATTCCATAATGTGATAAATGGAAAGCCTGATGGAAAGATGGGTAGCTTGAATTCTTAAGGAGTACATACACTACCGATAGATAATAGCATATGTCATTATAAAAGATGTAGAGAGGAACGATCCACGAAGGAGTCACTAGAAAAAGTCTTGATGGGGGATATTTTGTGGATGTGTTTACCATAGAACAAAAAGGACTTGTATCTAAAGGATCGAGCGCTACATTTAAAGAATAATATATCACCCTGAGGGGAGAAAATAATACCTTAAAACGGGATTAATCATTTTGATAATAAAAATATTTGTGGGTCTATATAACCTAGATTTTTCTTTTATCTTATGAGTGTAAGATAACGTTTATTTTATTTTGAGGTCTAGTGTTTGCACAAGGGTAAACCCCCTCATAATTAATTACATCTTCAAATCTGTGAGACTTAAAGAAAAATCTTGATTAATTTAACGACATATGTTATTTAGTTTGCAAGGTTGGACTTTAAAAGGTGATAGAAGGATTCAAGTTTAGAGTTTTAAAGAAATAAGTCAAATGGATGAGATTTACAATTCAATGTCAGTATATCATGAAAATGCACAAACAAAGGGATTTAACCATCCAGGGAGGAATTTTTACCGAAATGATTGAATTTTTTGTGGTGATTGTTGAGTTTGAAATTAATCAGTATTAGTGGAGTCGGAAGGGATTAAACAAGTTGAATGATTAAGGCTTCAAAATATTGACTAAGAGTTGAAGTTCAAAGGTCTGGATTGACAGGATATGTTTAGACAGTTTAATCATTTTTTTTTGCATTTGAAGAAATTCCTAATTAGGTAGGAAGGATTCATAGACAGAGGTGAAACCCTAGTTTTGAAACAAAGCTAGACTCTAGAAGGAATCCAAATATGTGAACTAAACTACATAATGAATAATGCCCCAAGTCAAGATGCCCATGATTTTCCATCATTTCGGGGTGTGTTGGTATCCTTCAACTACAACCAACCTT